AAAAACCTTCTATAGAGCAGTGTCTGCTGCAGTTTCATCACATTAGGGGGAAGTGAGGCCAGAATAACAAACAAACAAGGAACATGCGCTAAACCTAATCTCCTCCACCCCTCCGATGACAAAGAAATGTGCAGTACAAACCAAACTAGACCTAACAAAAGTCACATCTTTGCATAAGAAACAGAGAACAGCTCCAATTTCAAACATTTGGGAGGCTGAGGACACGACTGAGATGCTGTTTCTGTCAGTCGCCGGAGGAACCTTTTAAACAGTAGGATGTGAGGAAGAGCCAGGTGCTAGCAGAACCATTCATCATCAACACCAATGAGCCCTGCAGACGGACACTCAAAGATCCTCGTGAGCAGAGAGGGAGAAAACAAACGGGTGCACAAGAACGCAGGATTGCAATTGGCCTCAAATATCAGCAGGGCTCTAACAGGGTGTTAATATACGGCTCAAAGAAAGCATTGCACCGCACTGCAAGCTTAAATATTTGCTCTGAACCCACAAAGTGGTTTTCAGAAATGCAGGAGTGGTTTTATTTTACTGCTGCATCCTGTAAACCATTTTAAAGCTTGTGATGAGTCTTTGGTGAATCTCAATCATGTGGTGAACTCTTCTCTAAAGGTTTTTGTCTGCTCTTGCTTATCAGCCACACATGGTTTTTATGTATTTATAATATTTTATTATTTTTGCTTTAGAGTGCAAAGAGCAACATCAGTCTGTTGAACTCGACCAACAGGACTGTCATTGAAGGCAAGTTTTACATTTTAATGTAGCGCATGCAACGCTGAACATGTCTGTGCTGTTAATATTAATGTTGAAGTTATGACAAACATTACAGATCAAGCTCCAAGACAGGAATGTATTTTACAAAAGCAGTGGGGATGGTACAGTGTGTGTGTAAATGTGTGTGTCTGCTGCAGGCACCTCCATGCTGTGGACCAATGCAGAGGATGAAATCTCACTGGAGGTGGAAGCTAACACCAAGTTCTCTGTTTGGGTTTCTTTCTGTGAAATTTACAACGAGAACATTCACGACCTTCTGGAAGTGGCGCCTGGTGGGGCCCTGAGGAGGACCGCACTGCGCCTCTCGCAGGATGTCAAGGGAAACGCGTTCGTCAAAGGTCAAATCTAAAATTATAAGTAAAAGCAGAACTAAATGTCAGCTTTATCGTAAGTTTTCTTATAAGAATGTAGGAGAGCCTTCTCAGTGACTCGTACGCTGTGTTTGTGTATTTCCATCTAGATCTGCGCTGGGTTCAGGTCAACAGTGCCGAAGAGGCGTACATGGTGATGAAGTTGGGAAAGAAGAACCAGAGCTTCTCCTCCACTCGACTCAATCACCTGTCCAGCAGGAGGTGAGGACGACAGGCTGCAGCATTTAGACCCAGGCTGAGGCTGCGTCCACACGTACACGGGTGTTTTTAAAAACAGTGGATGTCAACAAATCCTGTCACACGTGCAGTTTTGGAAATATATCTCCATCTGCATGTACACGAAGTCAAAGACTGTCAAGAACACGCCAAAGCAGCAGGTGACCAAATAATCCTGACCGTGTAGAAATGTTGGCCAATCAGAAGTGTAGAAGCCTGGGAGGGGAAGCGTAAAGAAAGATGGCGCATAGAAGCAGCCTGTCTAAATACAGGCACAGTGACTGTGTGTGAAAACAGCATCATTGTAGAAATTCGTCTCATGTAAACAATAACATGGCGCACAGCTTTGACGTCGGGTGAATAAATCTGTTTTCCACACGTAAACGCAAAAACTACGTTTTAAAAAATCTCAGTTTTCAGTGATTTTAAACGGCGTTTATATGTGGACGAAAGGCCCAAACGCATGGAGAAAGCTGCGTTTTCAAAAACACCCGAGGACGTGTGAAATGAACTGTGGTTCGTTTGTGTGAACGCAGTGATCCACTCAGGTGTGGACCAACCGCACTGAGACTCTTTGGAGTAGGTGCTCTAAGAATGTGAATGAATGTGTTATGGAGAAAGTCCTGGCAGCCCAGTGCTCAGACTTTGGGTTTAGGTGTGGACGAGGAAACGTCAAAGGTTACATTATTGTTACACCAGTGTGTGAATGCGAGATAGTAGTGGCATTGTAAAGCGCTTTGGCTGCCTTGAAAAGCGCTATATGAATGCAATCCAATCCAATTATTATTGTTTAAATGACATAAATTTCTACAGTGGCAGAGACAAAATACTGATGCTGTTGATCTGACCATCTGCAGTTTTGCACGCTTACATATACACACACAGTTACTGTCCCTCCATTGAGAAAAGCAGAGGTGTCAGATTCTGCGTTCAACACAGACACACTCACGACCCAAATCCCAACATCGGTTTTGAATAAATTAATTTTTTTAATTAAATTTATGTGTTTTATTCATTTCTAAGATGTGAGTCTACACCAACCAAAATACTGTGTTTAGTTATTAACATTTGAAATGTTGAAGGGACTTGAAAAGTAACAAAGTTATCTGCCTGTTCAGAAAAAGGTTTTGTGAGGGTACAAAACCCTGTTTACTGTTTCCCTCCCAGGCTTCTAGGCTTCTGATTTGCCAGCATTTCGTTTTTAGCGTCTACATGTGGACGGAGATAATTTTTTTTCAGAACTGCACGTGTGGACAGGTTTTTTTTGTTTTTTTTTAAAGGAAAAATCTTGTTTTCAAAAATACCCGTGCACGTGTGGATGTAGCCTAAAGCTTTCATCAGTGGTGAATAGTTGAGTCATTTAAGGAGGCAGCACTAATACTTTAGTCTCTCTGTCTGTCTGACATCGTTTTGACCAACAAGGTTTTTCAAAAGTGACAGAACTGAATGCAAAGTTAAAATGAGGAATGATCAGTTTTGTCCAGTGAACTTGTGTTTGTACAGTGTTTTCCTGCATGCAACATGCAATGAATGTTTCTCGGTGTCATACGTGTTTGCAGCAGTGAATTTCCACAGTTTAAGACTCTGCACACTGAACTCCACATTTGTTTTACTTCAGACTTTTAAACAGCACGAGATTGATCAGGTTCTGACATCATTAAACATGACCTCACTACAATTATGTATTTAATATGAAGCAACGCCTGCTCTGGGCTGTCACCCCATGAACTGCACGAGAGGGCAGATCTGTTACCGAGAAATTGTTCTGCTTTTTTTCTTTTTTCATTGAAATGTGTGCTGTGATTCTTCTTCGTGCAGCCACAGCATTTTCTCCATTCGAATTTTGAGGATTGAGGACGTCGGGACACCGAGGGTCCAAACTGTCAGCGAGTGAGTAAAACCAGTGTTTGAGCACATAAACGAGTGTTGGATGTGTTCTCAGATAGTTAAAAATAACTGTGTGAGGTGGGATTTAAGCTTCTTCGTCAAATCTATATCATATGTATGTTGTAACAACAAATCCTTCTGGGAAGGGTAAGCCGTAAGCTGATATGCACTTTCCTAAAAATGTAACTGCGTGTCAGTACTGTCATTTCCTCCAGTGCATTTGTGGTTACTACATATGAAACTGTTTTTTGCAAAAGGCTGGCATAGAAAGAATCAACTGGACGACAGAAACCCAGCAGAAATTCCAAAGCAACACAAGCCCACTGTGCACACGTGTAAATGCTGCTGTGGCTGCTAGCATAGGCTACCTTATTGGCTTTATCTAGATTCAGCACAAAGTATGCTCTGTGTTGTTTGTGTCTTCAGGTTGTGTCTGTGTGACCTGGCTGGCTCTGAGCGTTGTGCGAAGACTCACAACAAAGGAGAGCGTCTGAAAGAAGCAGGAAACATCAACACGTCGCTGCTCATTCTGGGAAAATGCATCAATGCTCTGAGACACAATCAGCAGGCCAAGTGAGAGTCTTATCCATCCTTCGTTCCCTCTCTGTCTTTGGTTGATATTGACTTTTATTTATATCATAAATCACAACACCTATCACCACACTTTGTCACGGGCTAAATATCCCTACAATATTAGAGGGGAAACCCCGACAATCATGCGAGGGAGCACTTGGTAACAGTGGGAAAGAAACGCTCCCTCTGAACAGGAAGAAAGCTCGATCAGAACTTTGCTCAGAGAGGAGCAGCTGCTGCTGAGGGTGAAGGGAGGAGCAGAGAGCAGAGTAAACTAATGTTTAAATGCAGATGGTGCATGAACGCTGTACGTAAAAGGTGGACTTTTGTTTTTATCTCAGGAAAGTGAAGCCAGGATACTGGCTGCTTTGGACCTGCATTTTTTTCAAAGTGTGACAAACAAAAGCATCAGATGCCTTTAAAGATTTTTTTCAAATGTTGCAGGATTAATGATCCAGTCTGCTGTACGGTTAAAAAGGACAGAATTACTGCAGACATCCGCAACTCGTCTCGTTTTAGCCTGATTTTAAATCTTCTTGCAGTCTGGTTTAATGCTTACTATAGCTTCTCTGGAGAATGCTGGAGGCCACTACTTAAAGGAGTGTGAACAATGCATTGGTAGTGGACACAAACACAAGTGCTAATGCTGATGCATGTGTTATAAAAATGCATTACTGTTTCACAGTGAAGCTGTTCTGTACTCTTTGCCCGTTCCCTCCTCCAGGCTGCTGCAGCACGTTCCCTTCAGAGAAAGCAAGCTGACCCACTACCTGCAGAGCTTCTTCTGTGGTCGGGGTAAAGCCTGCATGATCATCAACATCAACCAGTGCGCCTCCATGTACGACGAGACGCTCAACGTCCTCAAGTTCTCTGCTGTGGCGCAGAAGGTTCATACATGTTTCATTGTGTTTGTTCGTGGGCTCCGGGCTGCATTAAGTCTGCAAGTCATCCCTCTGTTTGGGAACTGTGCCAACACACACACACCCACCCACCCACCCACCCAGAGGTGGAGAAGTACAGTCCACAGGCTGAACGGTTAAAAATCTTCCACGTGGCAATCTGTGACAATCTGTGCAGCAAGAGAACCATGCAGTCGTTGTATTCCTCTGTGTGTCACTGTAACCTATTCATATTACATTCATATCTAACCTACCATGTCAGATTATGGCACTTGGTAAGATTCCCAAATGTTCTCACATGTATTAAACATCATATATTTAGTTTGCCTTTTTCTTCTTGTGTGTTTTCAGGTTGTAGTTCTGTCCTCCAAACCCGTTCCCTTCATGCCACAGAGGTCTGTCGGTGAGGTGTCCTTCATCATGAACAGCACGGAGAGCAAAGCTCTCCGGAGCAGCAGGACGAGCTCCCTGATGGGCTTTGAAAGCAGTCTGGAGGACGTACAGGTAGGACGAAGAGATCACTTCCTCACCGCGGTTTACAAAATATTTCATGTCATTTACATCTTTAATTGGCTTGACTTATTGTCACATAAATCTCCATTAAATGTTTTTATCCAGGAGGATGAGGATGATGAGTGTGAGGAAGAGGAGAGCATGATGATGGACACCACGGATCAGACCGAAGCCGGAGAAGACGGTGAAGATAAAATTCTCGTCTGTAAGAAGACGCATCAGGTGAGCACATTTTTATTTCATCAGTGATCTGGAAGCATTCGCTGCCCTCGAGGTGTAGCTGTGCTGTGTGGGTGGAGCCAAACTGGTGGCAGAGAGTATCACCTTCCCTCACTGTGGAAAAACCCGGGGGGGGGGTCAAACGTCGAGCCCTGGGGCTAAAGTAGACCACTGGGCTCTGCATAGTTCGAATCACTGTGAGACGGTAGAGTCAGATGTTAGTGGTGTTATAGCAAAGTGGAAGCGACACAGAGCAGAGTCAGCAGTTGCTGAGCTACGTGATTCAATTCAATTCCATTTTATTTACACAGCGCCAAATCACAGCAACAGTCGCCTCAAGGTGCTTTATACTGTAAGGTCGACCCTACAATAACACATGCAGAGAAAAACCCAGCAATCATATGACCCCCTATGAGCAGCACTTTGGCGACAGTGGGAAGGAAAAACTCCCTTTTAACAGGAGGAAACCTCCAGCAGAACCAGGCTCAGGGAGGGGCGGGGCCTTCTGCTGTGATTGGTTGGGGTGAAAGAAGGAAGACAGGATAAAGACATGCTGTGGAAGTGTGAGTCAGTGTGAGTGCATGTGTGCGACTGTTTCATGGCAGTTTGGGGTACATGCTGTATGAGAAACGTGCTGACTTCAGTAGCTTTGCTCGTACTTGCTCTCGAACGTGACTCTGCAGCCTCAAATTAATTTGTCTATCACGTGCAGAAGGACACGGAACATTTTTGATATGAACGCTCTGCAAAAATGTTGCTTCATAATTTGACAAAGTTCTCATTTTTAATTTAACTGTGAAACTTGGGCAGTCTGTACCTAAACCTCATCAGACTCCTTTAAATGGTTTGTTGCAGAGGTCTAAAGGCAGAAAGCTCTGATCGCAGCTGTAGCCTTCTTCTGTCTGAGAGGGGCAGCCAATCACACCAAAGGGTGAATGAACGGAAGCCCAATATGAGAGAAATAAGGGTTTTTTGAACAGTGACTGTTTTATCCTCATGTGCATGTCTGCAGTGGACGACTGAATATAATTATGCTCTTCAGTCAAATGCAATAAGAAGTCATCAGCGTGTGTCCACAGAAGATTATCAAACTGTGTGAAAAGGTTTTGTCTAAAGAAGTAAAAAAGTACAAAAGCTCATGTTATGTTTTGCTGTTTTGTCCCTCAGAGGCAGGCGGTGCTGTTAAACCACCTGCAGGTGCAGCTGAAGAAAGCCAGAGCTGAAAGTCTGCTGATGGAGTCCCGAGTCCGAGAGGACATCGGCAGAGAGTTCTCCGAGCTTTTCTCCGAGATGCAGAACGATTACAAGTGAGACCCTTTTAGAGCTGTCCTAACAATGATCCAGGGGGATTTTATTTTGACATCTGAACTCAAAGTCACGCGAACGTGTTTGTGTTCGGCTCAGTGAGCGTCTGGCCAGAGAGAGAGAAATCCTGGAGGAGCGAGCTGAAAGGAGGCTGGAGATTTTCAAGAATCTCATCAACAAAATGGCTGCTGGACCCAGTGGAGAGGCAGAAGCCGTGGTAACACAAACCTTCATTTACGTTCTTCAAAGTCCTTCAGTTATTGTTGTCTTTGCCGCTTTGTTCTGTGCCTGCTGATTCACTTTTGATTTAAACATAAATGAGATAAAAAGAAATCGCAGACTACAGGTGGGTAATCCTCTCCGACGTCACATCGTCCTCATGTGAAACAACAATAACAGATACATCGCTGCGCTCCATCCCCCTTAATGCAAACAGCGTGGGCCAAACAGGAGCCTGTCGTCCTTACACAACAGTACATGAGTCACTCGACTATGATTAGTGATGGTACAGTAGGTGGATAAGATGACCTTTATTAGTCCCACAGGTGGGAAATTTATTTAGTTACAGCAAAAGTACAAAGTTATGTAGCAGAAATCAGAAAATACTGAAATGCAATAAAATAAAATACTATATACAATAGAATAGAATAGAATAGAAATACAAATGCTATATACAACTGAGTAAGAAAATACAAAAGTACAACTTCGTCAGAAGAAGGATTGTACAAGAATTGCACATATAGCAGTCTTATTGCACATGTGTGGGTTTGATCAGCTGCAAAAGTCTTTGTTGTGGAGTCTGACAGCAGTGGGGAGGAAAGACCTGCGAAATCTGTCAGCTAAATACCTGAAATAATGCTACACGGTGCCATGTGCCCGGCTCTTTGTTTGCTTCCTGCCTGCAGCTGTTTGTTCAGTCTGTTTTCATCACCACGTGTACAGCTCAGTATTGTAATGAAAAACATGCACGCCCTGACGGGGTCGCTCAAAGCCCAAATTCATCACGTTTCAAGCACATCTGTGATGATCATATTTAGAATAAAAGATGAACATAAGGCAAATATAAGCGCTGAAGTAGCCTCAGTGGTGGTCTGTTGTAAATGAGTGAAAATCTAACACAACTCGATAGTTTTTGTTTGTTTGTTTTTTCCTCGAGTGTTGAAAACGAGTTTGGTTTCCAGCTGCAGGGGGCGGCTTTCTTTCATGTTTTGATAAATGTTGTGCTCAGAGGTCCGACCTCGAGTTTCTTTAAATCTAAATCGTCACAAATTTCTGTGCAGTCGCCTGAAGTGTTTGGAGGATTCTCCCTGTTGGAGTTTAAATCAAAAAGCTGTGGACCTCACCCTGTTACTGCAGGCATAACATGCATAAGGGATGCTATATGTTGTTAGAGGTATATGTATACATGTGCATGTGTGGGGTTATTACCTCTACATTAAATAGGATTTCCAGGATGCGCCCACTAAACTGTTTCTTTCTTCCTTCAGGACAAATTTCTGAACTGCTCCTCTGAACTGGTGGGAGGAAAGAAATCCACTGATGCCGCTCAGAGGAGTGCAGATCCAGGCCGAGCAGGACCTCGGGCAGGTGCTGAGCTGGAACCGAATGAAGGGCAGCAGGAAGCCCCGGAACCGCTGGCTCACAAGTGCAATGGTAAAAACAAGACGGCGAACACAAATCTATTAGTTCATTCGTCTAATTAAGCAGATGGTTTGCAGATAAACACCCAACAGCGTGAGCACATGGCCTGCAGAAATATTTTCTGTTGGATGAAGAATGCATTTGTAGCTCTGTTCAGCCGTAGCATAAAAATGTTCTCTGATAAATTTGTGTTTGCATATTTGAAATTAGTTTTGAGTGGCCAAAATGAAGTATTACTTGTTCCTTTTCTCTCTTACTTAAATGGTGTAGCCAGAGGACATGAGAATGAGGAGAAGAGGACAGTCCTCTTCGAGCTCCAAGAAATGTCATCAGAGGTTTCCCGGCTGGAGAAACAAGTGGGAGACCTGCAGAGGACGGCAGAGCTGGCCCAAGAGAAGAGCTCCCGTGAGAAAGAGCAGCTGCAGGTGAGGAGCACGTGAACAGGAGGAGGTGCTGTGTGGTCTCATCTGTTTCTTGTCTTCACAGCTGTAACCGTCCATCTACAGTTAAAAGTAGCTGCTCATCAGTATTTATTACCCAGCCTGGTTTGTCTTGGTGGCAGTACAGACACTATAAATGACACCTGTTTACTTTTGTCTGCATTACATCAATATCTCTTTTCACATTTCATTTCACGCCTGTTTATATGTTAAACTGGGAGTAATCCATCATTTCAATCACTCAGGGGGCTTTGACAGCTCTCCAGAAAGAGCTCCGAGCCAGAGAAGAGGCCCTTGCTGTGTTGGAGGGCCAGACTTTGGGAAAAGAGGAGGCACTAGCATCTTTAAAGGAGGAGAGGAAAAAAAGGGATGAGGCCGTTGCAGCAGTTGGAGATCTAAAGCAAAGTAACGAGAAGATGCTGGAGTCCCTTGAAGAAGAGAGAAAAGGCAAAGAGAAAGCAATGGCAGCCCTGGAAACTGAGAGGAGAGCCAAGGAGGAGGCCATGGCAGCGCTCGCTGCTCTTCATGAAGAGAAGAGTAGCAGGGAGGAGGAGGAGAGTAGGGAGATAAGCAGGCTGGCAGAGCAGAGGAGGCACGAGGAGGCGGACGCACTCCGACAAGAACTGGGAGAGCTGACTGTGAAACTGGAAACTGCAGAACACCAGGTATGATTTTTACCCAGAAATGTGACCAAAAATGTTAAATCGATCACCCCGAAGACGGTGACGGCCCCGGAAACAGTTTACAGCGCTCTCACGCATCAGTCGAGATGTAGTGATTTTAATGTTTTTCTATGTATCAAACTTGTGTATAAAAGTGTGGCGTCAGGAAGAAGATCCAACTCAAATATATGTAGAGTTAAAGTTGTGGGAGCTTCCAGCTGTGGTGGGAATAAGAGGGCAGCCGAGAGTTTGATGCTTTTATCATGTGGAATTTTGTCTCTTGTGTTTGATTAAAACTCCCTGTGCTTACCATGAAACTGCCACAGGTGACCAGCAACGCAGAGAGAGCTGAAGAAGCCTTTGTCCAACTACAAGCTGCTCACGCACAAGTGGATGAACAAGCCAAGGCGATTCAGGAGAAGTGTTCCCAGATCCAAACTCTGACACAGGAAGCTGACAGGCTAAAGCAGGAAGTGCACACCTCTGCAGTGTCACAAGGTGCGAATGAGAAACTGCAAGAGGAAGTGTCTCAGTTTCAGAAGAGCCTGGCTGAGGAAAGACAGAAAACTGAGGCCAAGCACAGAGAAGTGCTGGATCTGGAGCACGAGCTGGCTGAGGTCAAACAACAGCTGGCACACAAACAGCTGGTCCTGGACCAGCAGCTGGAGCTGTCGAGTCAGAAGGAGGCATCTTCAAAACAGGAAGTTGAAGAACTGCAAAATAAACTTAAGCAGCAGGGAGAGATGTCACAGGCACCACTGGATGATCTCCAAACTCAGCTCGAGTGCCAAAAACGGGATTCCAGAGAGGAAGCGGAGGAGCTGAGAGGAAAACTCGAGCAGCAGACGGCGGCCTCGGAAAGGCAGGTCGAGCAGCTCAAAGAGAGGCTGCGAGAACAAGAAGCATCATCGCTGCAGCAGCTGGAAGAGTTGAAACGCAGACTGAGTGAACAAAAATCCGATTCCAGCAAGCTCGTGGATGACCTCAGACAGAAGCTCAGCGAGCAGGAGCGAGCTGCAGAGCGCCTCAAGACAGAGCTGGAAGACGCCAGGATTCACTCAGAGGCTAAAGAGCTCAAGAGGATGAACTCTGACCTCCAGGCTGAGGCTGCGTCACTCAGGGAAAAAGTTTCCAATATGGAGAAACAAAAGGAGTCCTGCAAAACCGAAGCTCAGCCGTCGTCCTCAGAGACCGAGAGGATGCTGGAGGAAAAGGACAGTCAGATGGAGGAGACGCTAGCAGAGCTGCAGAAAGAGCTGCTGGAAAAGGATGCACAGGTGACATCCCTGAAGAAGAGTTTGCAGGAGGCTCAGGAGCAGCGTGAGGAGGACGAGTGCCAAGCTGTTCAGGAGGCCCGGCGCAAGGAGGTCGAAAGGAGACGGGAGCTGCTGGCGGTGGCGCACGAGGCCATCGCTCAGAAGGAAGCCGAGCTGAAGAAGAGAGACGAGGACATCAGCAGGTAACTCGTCATTGTGTTTAGATCTGAGGCAAGTTGGAAAGTTGGGCCTGTAGCTGCTACATCATTGTTGTTAAGCCCAGTGAAACTGATCAAAGCCTTTTCATGTTACATTTAGCTCAGGATTACAGACGCGTCGGTTCCCGCTACAGCCGGAGTGTAAAATATCTCCGCTCTCAGCCCGGCTCTCTAAAATTCCGCCTCCCTCACGTATCTGCTCTTCCAAATCACTGTGAATCACATGCTTTCAATCATTCTGATGAGTTTTATCTACAAGAGTTGCTATTATGAGAAACTCATCAGCCCAGAGCTGAGCCTGCCTTTGTAATGACTGCATTAGTGCGCAGCTGCTCTCAGAGCCAGCGCAGAGCTCACAATGTTACTGATGGTAAATGAGAATTACAACAAAAAATCAGGAAAGATGAAGCCGGGTTCATACTGCAGGTCACAAACATTGTTCCTCTTCACCTGAACAAAACTATTAAATGTTTTTATTTACCTACATCTGTGATGAGTTCATGACTGTATCAGGCGAACATCGAAGAATATTTATCTCTAATTAAAACCTTGACTCGATCAGGATCAAATTAATTGTTATAGACCGCTGGTATTGATATGCATTGATAAAGGTGTTCGTTCATAAATTTCTGCCCCTCTCTAATAATCTGGGATCTAGAGATGGTTCCCTGGAACATAAAGGTGGTTGAGTTGCTAATTAACAATGAAAAATGACAGTAAAATGTTGTTCTTATATAAACGGTGTTAAAGGGAATACTAACTGAGAAATGTATCGCTGTAGAACAGACTGAATTCTCTCTGTAGGTGTGTCGCTCTCCCAAACTGCTGTTTATATCCTCTCAAGGAGAAAAGTAACAGAGAGTGGGAAGCACTGACTGTGTTGTTCATCATTTTTTTTAGCACTTATTAGGCTGCTTTGGTTTGTTCGTACCTTTGAGTCTGGTGGACGTTGTAAAAATCCAGCCATGAAAGAGTCTGAACATCGTGTCTTTCCCTCTCAGGCTAAAGGAAAACGCCAAGCAGGACTCAGAGAAGGTGAAGAGCCTCAGCGTGGACCTTCAGAGGAAGGAGGAGGACTCTTCAGACCTCAGAGAGAAGCTGGCTGACTACAAGAAGCAGATGCAGCAGGTCCAGAAGGAGGTGCACGCATTATTGGATGTTTCAGTCTGTCGCTCACACTCCTCACTGCTGATGCAGTTTACTGCAGCACATCAGCTGCTTCCAGCAGAGTTCTTACAGTTTTTTCCCAATTTGGTTTATTTTATTTAGATTTTTAAATTGAGTTTAGTTTTGGTTGGTTTCCAGTTTGACTGTTTCAGTTCGGTTTTATTTACTTTAAAATGTTTAGTGTCAGTTTAGTAATAATATTAGAACTCCAGTGCAAAGATGGCTTTAGTGCCAGTGAGAGGTCAGGATTGCTGCTAATTCTTAAATAAAGTAGATCCAGTGATCTACATCAGTGACAGCAGGTCCTTAAAAGAACAAACTTGGCTTAAATGATGTTTCGATGTGTCTTAAATGTTTTTAGCCGTGTCCTCACAAACATTTCAGACATGCACCACATTTGTGCCTGTACACATTTATCCTCACGGTGCTATCAGGAGTGAGCTGGAGCCCATTCATGCTCCAGTTAGGCTGGAACAGCCCTGAGCAGCAGAGCTCTGAATCACAGTTAACCTGCAGAGCTGCATGCTGGGAAAAAGTCCAAGTTTTTACTTTCAGAAACCTTTAATGCTCTGTGGTCTAGTAAGACAGATTACTGTGACTGAGTAAAGTCAGCTTCAGATCCTTACCTTTTGTCCTTTTTGTCCAGATTTCAGCCATGAGAGACGAGGAGAAGGTTCTGAAGCAGAAACTGTCCGACGCTGAGAAAGCAAAGAAGCAGCTTCAGTCTGACCTCGCCGGCAGAGACCGAACCATCCAGCAGCTCAAAGTGGTGAGGTCATCTGTTCCTCCACCAGACACTACTCACTGTGTGGGAGCAAGATCATCATGCTGCTGATAATAATATATTGTGTAATGTACATGTGATGATGATAACTAGTAAATGTGAGACAGTCGTTCTGTCTCATGTTGTTGATGCCTTCTGCCTGCCTCTGTAGGAGCAGTCATCTCATGCAAAGTCTGACAAGACGCTGCAGCGCTACCAGCAGGCCTGTAAAGGTCAGAGTTTCTCTGTGCTTTATTCACTTATACATGTTGTTTTCCCCCCAAACACATTTACCTTAACATTTAAGCCGTCCGTCCACTTTCTCCCACTTACCTTTATTGCAAAGGCAGCGCTAAGCTCCCCTTTCTCAGCCACCTACTCTTTCTTACTGAGTGAAGAACGAAGAGTAAAAATCTGTCCTCACCAACTGTCTTTACCTGTGAAAGGTCCTTCAGTAAAGACGTTGGTGCTCTTCCCATGTTCATGTGTCCTGCTCTTAACTTCACACAATATGGACTCTTCAAATATCGCCAAACTGTTGAACAGGAAAAATGTTCACTCAAGCTTTCCCAGTAGTGTCTAACTGGTTTTTATGTTAGTAACCAGCAGAGGTTACTAACTTGTTCATCGTGGTGGATGTGAACCTGAACTTTTGCTGCGTGTGTTTTTGGTCGTTCGTAGAGCTGGAGGCCAAGGAGCGGGTGATGGAGGGCATGCGTTTGGCTCTGTCGGAGCAGGAGGATACTCAGGAGCAGCTGGAGCAGGTCCTGGAGGAGAAACTTAACCTCATCCAGGAGCTCTCCAGTGGTAAGAAACAGGAGGTGAAAAGAAGGCAGGTTTTAGTAGTTAGAGGAAGTCAAAGGCTCTCGTACGGACACTGGCTGAGGTTCAGTCTTTTATAGTTCAAAGCAACAGTTGATCGACTTTGACCTTTGACATGTTCTACTTCTAGTTTTCATAGTTTTAATTATACAGTAAATAGAGATGTTCTCTGCCCATTTTCTTTCTCTTTTTTTTACGGTACTTCTTGCATTTCTACTCTCATGGCTTACTAGTTATTGTAAAGCTATACTTAAAGTTGCATTTAACTTTATAGTTGCTGTGTCGTCAGTCTTCGTTCTGTGCTGTAAACCTTTTCAGAGGTGGAAAAATTGAAAGAGATGCTGCAGCAGCAGGGAAGTGGAAACAACACACACCAGCAGCTCAGCAACAGCCAATCAGATGACTTAAAAAGGGCCAAACAGGAAGCAGCTGAAGCTCAGGACAGCGTGAAGGTACGGAAGCAGATTCATTATTAGCATTTGTGTTGATGTCCCAGAACAGAAATGTTACCAAACGGTGTGTCTGCAAGTGGACTTTGAGCCCAGGACTTAAGATTACATGTATATTATATTCTGTACGATCATGTGTTCAGTCTTTTCAGTCCTGATTACAGTTCACATGTCTTTGGCTGGTCCGATATGCGTGTTAAACAGCTGTGCATCATCGTCAGGATGATGGGGATCATTTTGTTATGCTGAGGTCTGACTGCACCAGATCTTCATCTGCGATTGTCGAGCCTGATCTCAACAAACCGAGAAATAGTATAAAACAAAAGTCAGCTTGTCTTCATGGACGTTAGTTACGATTTTGTGGCAGTCAGCACAATATCGCGTCACCTTGGCAACCAAATAAATCAAGTTTTTTTTTTAAACAAAAAGAAGAAGAAGAAACAAACTGTTGTTTTCAACCTAAACACTGATCTTTGTCTAAGTTTAACACCCAACTTCAACCTAATACTTTGTGTTCTGAATCTAACCAAGTACATTTTTGTTAAAAGAAAAAAAAGTGTGACATATAAAACTCCGACCTGCCGCGTGGATGAAGTGACTCGCTCGAAGAAGAATAAACCTTAATAATAGCCGGGGTCACATTGGTTCTCTTTAGGACTGAGGGAACTGCTGTATGAGACCCGTGAGAGCGTCAGATTCCTCCACACATGCAGTCAGTGGGGTGAGGTTAGTTCGGTGATTCTAAATGGCCCATAGATCATGTGACTGGTTGTGTGTGTCTCTCTGTGTTAGCACTGGGACAGCCCAGGGTGTACCCCGCCTCTCGCCCCATGTCAGCTGTGTGAGATGTTTCATTCCCACGTGACCCTGATTGGATAAGTGGAAGAAAATAGACAAATTTATTAAATATGTTTTTTCTTTAGACAGAAGGTGTAATTCAGTCTGCCAACTACACACAAGGGTTCATGGTTGAGTTTGGAGGAATTCCTGTTAGCAGGCCTTTGACTTTGAGTCAGGTTTGCAATAACATAGTTCAGCACCTTTTTTAGTTAATTTTAATACATGTTTGCAATTTTACCTTTTACTATTTTTAGTTTTATTACTTACTATTTTTGTTCCGTAGATTTCTGCGGAGAAGCACCAGGCGGACCGCAGGAAATGGCTGGAGGAAAAAGTCTCCCTGATCAGCCAAGCTAAAGAGGCCGAGGACAAGAGGAACCAAGAAATGAGGAAGTTTGCCGAAGACAGAGAGCGCTGCACTCGGCTGCAGAGCGAGCTGGTAAGAGGAGGGCGATGCTAAAAACTGTCTGACACCCACCATCGACCAATGAGGGTTTGAACCGAGTTAGATTGTGATGGCCATTCAACCACTTTCTTATTATCAAAGGACCCACCTTACAATAAATTCAACACAGACATGCGTATTAATAACAAACCTGATTAGTTAAAATGTGGCTTTTGCTTTCAGATATGAGCTTCACAAAGTTGCTTGTTATGCTTACAGCGGAGGATGATTTTTACTGATGGAGTTACTTTTTGGAGCGCAGCTTTAATTGGCGAGAATGTTGGTCGGGCATATATGATGCTGTTTCTCCTTTTCCATCAGGAGTCCCAGCTGGCTGAAAAGGAGAAAACCATGGAGAATTGGAGGCAGGAGCGAGACACTCTGGTCGCAGCTTTGGAGGTCCAGCTAAAAAGGCTTCTTTCCAGCCAAGCAGAGAAAGACAAGCTCATCCAGCAGCTGCAGCAAAATAACACACAGCCGCCACAAGAGGTCAGTATAACATAACGAGGATCACAGGCCCCGGAGGCAGAGTCTTAAATCGGGCTCCTGTTATAAAAGAAAGATGGGAAAGGTTAAGCATGGTGGTTTAAGGCATGATCGTCTGTTTCATGTGCAAGATACGGGGTGATATTTGCAATGTGTGTCTCAAACACCGTCAGGTAATGTCCTTCAGTATGAAGTATATTTAGTATATAATAAAATAAGACTACAGCCCTGCTGTGTTTCACCTCAGTCTATTTACAGCCCATCAGTTTAAAACCTGCTGTGATGTGATGGATCACGGTTTAGTCAGAGGTGGACGTTTGAACTTCCTGCAATGTTTTATTTCTTTATTTAAATCTTTAAACAGGATTTATTGAAGAGGACTGAATAATGCCTCGTAGAGCGAACAGGTTATCTGTTCCATGTTTTCTGCATCCCCTTTTTGTTTTTTAAACCTCACATACACCTTTGTGAATGTGGAACTGTATCTGTTTTAGCTTTTAGGCTTTTTATCATAGTATCATCACTCAATGTGACCGGGCAGTCCACCCAAAGCATAAAAGAGTAAGTTGGGGGAGGGGTGTTATAATTATGCACAAATCGTATTGATTAAAAAAAAAAAATGGTGGAGATCTGCAGCCAGTTTGCTGCAGGCGTCTCTGTATCGGAAAAGCCACTAAGTGACGTAAAGGAAAGTCAATAAGTGTGAATGTGGGAAAAACAGCTACAGCATTGAAATATTGACACTGCAGTGCTGATTGCACACAGATGTATGAAGTCACTACAGGGAATCACTGGACTTGTATTATGAGTGGATACAGTTTCAAATAAAATAGCGTCGAGCCCTCAGATAGCACATCCTCTGGTCCTCTCCATGCCTCTCTAAGGATGACTTTATGGGTTGAAACCCTACGCTGTAACGTACGCCGGGACCTGCTGTGCATTTCTGCAGATATTTAAGTATGCGTCATATTTCTGATGCCGGTTTTCAAATTTATTCAAGAAAATGGATCAAAACAAAAAGAGAAACTCTCACAGTAGCGTTGTCTAGGTAACCGTCTAATACATAACCCTCCTCCCCCCTGTCATATGTCAGCCAGCAGTATCTTTTGGTCTTATTTATAGTTTAATTCAGTTTGAATTCTACTGAAATCGCTGAATGTCATTGGCTTTCTATGATATCGCTGCTGGTCACTTCCTGCGTGGCCGCCCTTTAGCCCCTCCCACCAGATGCGTGAGTGCAGGAGGTGAGGAAGAAAGGAGAGATGAGTCGACGCGAGTAAAATGTGACACCCTTGTGTCTGGATCTCTTCAGATATGATGTTTGATAGAACTGCAGCGCGAGTTGTTCTGCCTTAAGTTGTTGAACAGCCACTGCTGTTTTTTGACCTCAGGTGTGACAGGACAGAAAGTTTGATCATGTTTGTTAAAAAGTTGTTCTTCCAGTGTTGTTTTCATGCTCCTGCTGTTTGCCATGACTTTTGTGCAGTGAAGGTAAAAATGCTTCAGGAGGTTTGCAGCTTACCTCCTGTGCACGCTTCAACATGGAGTACTGAGATGGATGTCTGAGTCGCTGACAACTTGTTGGAGATTTTAAAGGGGAATGTAATAAAATGTTAGTCATATTTTTACACAACTCAATTTTATCATTTGGTATCTTCTGCATCAAATATATCTTTAATAAATAAAATAAGAGTTTCCTTCGCTGTGTCCATGTTTTGATCAAGTGCAGAAACCTCAATAACCTAATACTGAAATGTTGGCATCAATTTGGTGATGGAATGAAAAGAGTTCCTGCCTGTTGCCTCGGTCGTTTAAAAACGTCTCCGCACAGCAGTGATAATGAACGACGGGGATCCGCCGCGCCGGCCTGCTTTTGATTGTTAGCTCAGTTATGTTGCCGGTTCCTCTGCAGTTTGTCCAAACGTAGTTCTTCATGTTCCCACTTTGATGGAAGTCAAAGCGGCGTAAACGCTTCCAGGTTTAAATGGAGCCATAAATATAAAAAGTGTGTTTTATATCCATTTATTTTAGTCTCCAGAAAACAGTTATTCTTCTTTATCAGCTTGTTCCTGTTTGAATGGTTGCAAACTCGCCAGGAAATACTAAACCGTGCCCGCTGATCTGGTTATTTTCCACAACAATAACAAATAAAAGGAAACCAAAGAGAAAACACTTCACAGCCGTTCGTAACAAGAAAAACACGAAGCCTTTATATCTGAGCGATGCACAGAAAATGAGTTTCAATTATATTTTTTATTTTTTTGTGCTGTTTATCTTTCTAGTCATACAGAACTTTAAATTGAAGCCACTGTATATGTTCCAGGATGATTCAAAGTCAGAGACCTCAGTTCCGATGTATTGGAAGCAATTTTGTTGGTTTCTTAAGAGTTCAACCTTTTCAGAGCGTTCCTTTTATTCTGTGGTGAGGGGAATGGATTCTACATCTGCAGGCAAACAGGGCTCTCCCCCCCCCGTCTCTCCCTGTGTATAGGAGGTGTACCACTCTTAAGCTTTATGTAGTGCGAGCTATTGTGTTCAGTGCGACTTCCTTAGACCTTTCGAAGTTCTTCTTCTGGCATTGATTTAAAAAATGAAAAGCTCATCTCTGTTCGTCAACGTTACATGCTGTTTTCCATAAAGTAATCCCTTCACGCCTCAGAGTGGCTCAGATCCAACTCGACACCTTTTGCTTCCTTCGGTCTCCTCCATCTATGAATATGCAAATTAGTCCCAGTTTCTATTTCCACCCACCGGCCTGCAGCTCAAACATACCTGCTCACCTTCGACTTCTGCTCAGATAGCATAAACTAGTCTAGGCTGGGCTAGTAGTTGTAGCGTTGGGGTAATTCAGGCGAAGACGTTCAAGCCAGAAACCAATTCTGATGGAGGGTGAATGGGTCGGCAGCAAGCTGATGAATCAGGAATGTGCCGGGAGGTGTGAGAGCGAACCGTATCGGTGTATCAATACAAAGGAAAATGAATTAATATGTGTTGAAAGTCTGTATTGTCAGCCATCTCTGGCATGTTTCAAGGGTCTCTCAAAAGCATGAAATTGAAGGTGAGATGCAGAAAACGTGCTCAGTGTCCATGAACTTCCTGTTTCAGGGCAGCGACGGTGGTCCCAGCGTGGCGACGCTGCAGGCTGCTCTGTCTGAAAAGGAGGCAGAGATCCTGAGGCTGACGGAGCAGCTCAAGGCCTCCACAGTGAAACAGGAGGACACAGTGACACAGGTCAGTGTTTTAAGCCTTACTCGAGTCAAACAAGAACTTTTCAAGATCAGATATCCACCCATGGTCGCATTTGAAAGGTGGCTTTAAAGATTTGTGGTTTTAATCCTCCACACAGGACGGCAGTGGTGCTTATCTTCGATTTATAGCCCCGTTCAGACGTGCACTCTTTTCATTGTAAGCCGACAACATCTGAACCTGTCGGCTTCATGTCTGGATGAACCTTCTGCTAACTTTTACTTAAAAGTTGTTCTGGTAAAACCTTTTATGCCCTTAATGACCACCAGGGGGAAACTCCTGTGGTTTCCAAAGCACTGCAGGTCTTGTAGAAGTCTATCAGGAAACAGCCCTCGGACGTGACCTCTGTAAAGCCTGAGACCATCCAAATCTGACTTTATCAGGCAGGGAGCAGAACGCATCCTGTGTCTGAGCAGGAACCGAGACGCTTAAAAATGTTCAAGGATGCTTCGACATCTTTGCGCCCTCAGATTACCCCTATGGTTTAAAAGTATGTTAGGAGCGCCTTTAGCTTAAAGCTCAATGTTTTTATGTAGCATCTGTCAAAACTGAGGAGTCTTTAAACAAAGGGCCGTATTTTTAGTTTTACATGGAAAAAGAGAGCAGATGTCAATGAGTGCATAGCTCTGTAGTTGTTTTATGTTTGAAGGTGAAGATGGCGGGCAGCAGGAACATTTTTTTCCTCTTATGTTCAAACAGATGTTCGTTTTCATTTCTCAGCGAGCAGGTCAGAGGATAACGGGACGAGAAAAGAGCTTCAGGCGTGCAGATTTGCTTTCGTTGGTTTGCTTAGCGCTTCAGCTTAAATGTAAGAAGTGTAAATATAATGAAAAAGGCAGAGGACGCCGGGATTAGACACATCTGATCTCCATCTATAAACAGAGGCAGAAGATGAGCAGAGAACACGGACAAACTGGGCTGTTTGTAGCAAGGAAACGTCTGGTATAGTTTACCTGATATAATATAAAACAATCCCATCAAGAAAGTACAACAATACATACCAAATTGAAGGGCAGTGGTCAGTTATGTGCTAAAAATAACTCGCAATAGGTGAAATCTGCCAGCTTTATTTCTCAGACAGGCATGAACATTTTCATACTTTTCTCTCTTGCTTAAACACTCAAAGTTCAAACCCTCATAGAAAAATAAGTCCAGCATTATAGAATGAAACCAAAGACCCGCGGCTGCCTGCAAAACGTCTCGTCGACATCGTTGTTTGTTGGGGAGAAAACCTACAAACACACAGTACAGCGCTTCAGTGCTAGAGATCGAAGACTTATGTAAATTAAATAAATTTGACAAGCTGAGCGCATTCTGTACTGTACAGGAGACACGGCACGAGATTGAATAATCTACAGCCAATCAGGACACAGAACACAATGAGATGTAAAAAAGTGAACCGCATTAAAGCGAGGGACCACTGTACACTAATTTTATTTCCCCTCATACACAGCATCTCGTGAAAGTAGAAAAATTGTATCATCGGAGCAGCGAATGAAAAAATCCCACTAAAATTGGTGACAAATCGTTAAGTAAAACAAGTAAAACGAATGAAACTGTGTACTTCTTTGGTCCACCCATTCCTGGGACGTGTGGGTGAAAATCCCCTGATGTCCCAGGATGAGTGAATGTTTCCTTTTAGTGTTAAACACCACAAAGATGAGTGTGAATGACAGCACTGAAGGAAACAAACTAAGATCTAAACCCTGACCCTGTATATGAATAAAATCATTTCAATGGTGTGTGTGTGTGTGTGTGTGTGTGTGCGTGCGTGTGTGCGTGTGTGCGTGATTCTCCAGCGACTGCTCTCACCTTCTCTGACC